GGCTAAGTAGGAGAGACTCCTAGGATCCATAAGCATTTTTGTTTTCTTCGAGGGTTCCTGCCCCTTCCTAGACCTAGTTCGGGATTATACTCCGTATCTTGTGATAGCGCCATATTTTGAGTAAAATAGCTCAGTGTATTGGGATCATGAGGACATGTGGCCCATTTTTTTCTTGCTTGATTCATCTCCTTCACTTCCTTGCTTCACTTCTCTCCTGTTGATTCCTATAACGTCGCTGTTCATGATAAAGCTCGTCAGCAGTGACGTATAAATGAAGTGATCTGATCAATTAGCAGCCATTATCATGCGGAAAACGAATGCACGGCGTAACCTAGTCAGTCTCCAGGGCAGCTGTTGGTGACTTTAGGAAGTGTTTTATCGTATGCTGATTGCTATGATTTTCTATCCAAGGGCCAAACAATCACTTGGAATCTTTTTAGTCGTTACGGATCATATTCGAAACGTTTTCCGGAATGCCAAGTACGGAGCCTTCGGACTGCACTAAAGCCGATGCTAATCTCACCCTATACGACGGTGCAGGCGACAATGCCCCAATATTCGCCACCTTCTGCGGCGACACTAGTGGTCCTAAGGTTAGATTCTTATACTGGGTTAGATTCTTATACTGGTAGATACGTTTAGAGCCTTTAAAAACGATTCCAGGTACCGCTACTAGGAGAGCCGATCACGATGACGTCATCGAGTGCAATGCTACGGTTCAAAGGCAATGGTGGAGCGTTTTCGATCAGATGGGAGACCAAAAAGCGCGGTAATTGGCTCAATAACTAGATCAACCATATCTTTTTTTCTCGCTAATTACCCTCATCCAAACTCAGAGTGTGGCTACCGTACGAATCTTGCTTCTGGAGTGCTCGTGGTGCCTCCTCATCACATGGACACCTCTTGTGATTGGTTCATATCGGCGCCGATGAATAAGCACATCGAAATCGAGATTCCTTCAGTCGGAGATGACTAGCGGTCTGCAGATGAACTGCAGTGTCAACCAATTGACGGTTTGTTTGGCTTTCTTCTTTTTGTCCTTGATGCACTTTCATGAAGCCTATGACTTAAAGACACAGTCCGGATATGACACGCTCACCTGTTCTATCCCCAGCATAGTAGACAGGCAGGACATTCGCTGATGTCGCACCTCCTTTTGCGCTTGAAAGTGCGCGACAAAGGCGCGAGAAGCTCGTTCGACCCGCAATCCACATCCTGTGTCCGCAAATTCCCTCCTTCGACTGCCGACTGCCGCGTGACGGTGAGAGAAAGGCGCACGGTAGTTGCGGCACTGCTTGTGTTATGGTTCAATGTCATCTGCACTGGAGCAGCTGGAGCTGGTATGTGTAACTCATCCAAAACGCCCCTTCTCTCTTCCAAGGTGGGATAAGTCTGCGATAGTCTGCGGTCCTTATTCGGGGTAGTCGGGGGCTCCTCTTGCTTTCCGCGATCAAAGTTCTGAGCCTCTCGCGTACCTCCCACGGGCTTCAGGCGTCAAAGTGCCTTCACACTCTGCGGGCCTCTTACTTTATCATGGATCGGATATGAATTTAGCGAAAGATGGCTTGACAAGCATGTTAGAGATTTCTAGCTAGAAGTATCTGCTGGACGAAAAATCGAAATCAAAATCGAACATTAGTTTTGTGATTCTAATTTTTTTGAGGTCTTCGACGGTTACACTTCGTACGATGCTCATCGAATCGTGCACATTTGCGAAACTACTAATATAAGTACACAGGTAAATCACTTGTTTTCTTTGCTTTTAGGGTTTTATTTGCTATCTCATGAAAATATTAATGGCAAATAAACTCACTTACCTATCAGAAATATGTCGTCGTTCTATTGTTTATACTAATGGACACGGTTTTGTTGTAGCCTGTCCAAGATTTCAGTACTTTTATTAGGCTTACGTTTCGGCCTCTTCGCCTTCGTCAGAGCCTGAAAACTCGAAAAGCAATTAGGACCGATCCTTTCATGGGTCAAAACAAAACCGTATCCACCAACCTGCCAAGATTAAGAAAAGGGCGTTGTGGGATTATTCATACTGCTTATGAATCATGAAAATCGTATTTATACACAGTAACACACTGTCTGCAAAACTGAAAGAAGGAACCTCTTTTAAAATTGTTACATACACAGGTCGTATTTAGGTCCGTTCTACAGGGCCGTTTATGACAGTCGCTTTCAAAAGTAATGTCTTCGGTGGATCAAAAAGTGCTCTACACCGTGGCTTCACAATGAAATATAGGACCTTCGAGCGTAAGTGATATTTATTTGCTTTGAGCCCTGTAAAGAAACTTTCTTCCATTCTGATGAAGCTGTTGAGCCTTTACAGTAAGGTAGATGCATTCTGAGGGGACCACAGAGTGAATGATCCGTTCACATTCTTTAAAGCAACAGTCCCAGCAGGGTGGGCGTGGTCGGAAACGGCTGCAATCCCCTCGGCCGATTCCCACTTCGGAGCTGTTCAGCCCC